CAATACCAATATGTCTGCAGTATTGGTTGATATATCAGCCTGGCTGGTTTATCAGTCCAGCTGTAATGATAAGATTATTATATGCTTTTTTTAATGCATATTTTAGTGTGTTAAGTGTAGAATTATCCAGTAACTACTCCTCATAACATTTTTCTTGTACTCGAATTGGCAAAATTGCCATAACTTGTGATTGACAGTTTAATTGAAACACATCGGTGGTTCATTAGTTTTGTTTTTGTTATCTTTCATTTGTCTCCCTGAAACCAAAATGACAGTATTTATTTCTGACAGCACTCAGAGCTTCATGTTTATCAAAAGTTTATGAAAGAGACAATAACACTTTAAAGTTTGTCTCTTTTCTGTTTCCTGCTGGCAAACATGTGTTTTTATGTCTCGGCACCGCTGACAACAGTGGCCTGAAGCATTATGTTTCTAGTTTGTCTTACCCGCCATCCCATTCTCGTAAACGTGATATCTCAGCAAGGCCTTGAGGGAATTCAAATTTGGCACAAATGTTGACGTTGACTCAGGGATGAACTGATTACATTTTTCTGGTCAGTGGTTAAAGGTCGAAACTTATTTGTGGCCATAACTCAAGAACTCGTAAGTTAATTATGACACAATTAAACACAAATGTCTAAAAGATAAAATGAAGTGATGAAATTTTATATCCGAAGGGTGATAGGTCAGCTTCACTGTGACATCATGATGTTCTGCAAAAAGATTATTCGGCGCTGTAACTGAAGAACAGAAGGAGAGACTGTGACCATTTCCTGCGGCATACAACCACAGAACAGTAATTGGAGTTTGTTACAAATTCCTTATTGCCTTGTACTCATCTCCATATGGAAACATACACTGTATGGAGATTATCTCATACATACATAACTTGAATACTGTGCGGAAAATAATGTAATGCAAATGATTTCAACGCCTGTGTTGCTTGGAAATAATTGGATGATGTGAAAGTTATGAGCTCCCTGTAGGCAAACACAGCTTTTCCAGTGGTAGAATCATGACAGTTTAATGTCATAGAAATGTAATATTCTGATGTTTTGAAGAAAAAGTATCAGTGGGAATGTACAAATGCTATGAAAGAGGTGTCCAAAATAACATTAGTAACGGGTATTTGTGCAGATGAAAGGTTTGTGGATTATTAAAACTTGGAAGATTCTCAGTTTCAAACGGTAATATTCGATATCTTGGGAGTCTCGTTGGCCTTTCGTTGCATTAACAACCACATCATATCTACTGTACTGATTGTTTTACAACCTTGATGATTAGCAGTGATTATTTCTACCTTCCAGCGGTATCAGATGGGCTCAGGGTTTGGAGGCGAGAGCACATTTACAGTGCTCACCGCAGCTGAACTGATTACCATGTTCTCTAATAACAACCACATGGGCTGTTACAGTACTTGGGGCAGGGGGAGGAGGTGGTGCTGGTGGTGGTGGGGGGGTCTTCTTCAGTAGTGTCCTCAGGGAGCGGGCCAGGGGAGGGGGGGCGGGGGGGTTTGCTGACTCAGCTGTTGTGTGCTGAACTGAGCTTTAATGAGGCAAGAGCGGAGGACTCTCTGACAAGTCACACACACACACACGAAGTTTTATATAGACATATATATATATATATGCACACATAAAACCGACATCGCAGACGGACACACAAACCCGCCAGACTGCCTTCTCACCTGTGTCTCACTGAACTTCACCTTTTTCTTCCCCTTCTTCTCCTGTCTTTCACAACACTCTGCACATCTCTTTAACACACACACCCCTCCACAACCCCCCCCACCCCCCCCACCCCCTTGCCTTTTGACCCTTTTATTATCCCCATTACTATGTGTACAGATTAGCCCCAGGTTGCAGAAAGCTCTAATTTGAAGTAAATACATGCACATTTATGTAAAGGGGGCTAATGGGAAAAATGAGTCTTGAGGTGTGTGTGTGTGTGTGTGTGCGTGTGTGCGCGCCCTCCAGAGCCTGTTCCCCTCACCAGGGAGCTTGTCCAGCGCGCTATAAAACTCCACAGCTCTCAGACTAAATGTGGCTGAAATGAAGGTTTAATGTGCTGGAAAACTGTTAGTTGCATTTGAATGGTGTGGGTGTGTGTGTGTGTTGTAATGGATTGTGTGGGTGTCTCTGTGTCTCTAAATGTAATTGTGTGTGTGTGCATGCGTCTCTTTCTATTTGTGTGTAATAAGTGTGTTTTATTGAGTTCGTTGCATTTTCTTTTTTTAATTAATGAGAGTGAATGGACTCAAAATGTTGATCTTTTCTGTTTGCACCTTTTTATCTTAAGTTTAATCAACATGGTGTGTGGAAGCATATTTGTAACGTAACTGTGCAGTGGTTCCTTTGCCTTTATATGTAAAAGGATAGGCATTAACATTCAATGAGCAATAGAAGCACATATTTGTTCAGTGGTGCTCAGGTTATAAATTTGTCAGTGAACAATGTGTTTCCCATTGAGGCTTGATCACATGATCAGCAAACAACAATATGGAAGCAGAAAGCTTAGCATCAGCAGTACAGGCAGGAGACGTAGAAGTATTGGGCCTATGAGCAGCAAAAGTCATTCTTATTCATATGAAGTCCTGGTTCTTGTTCAGTGTGAGTGAGAAAAGGAAATAAACCAAAATATCTCTTGATTTCTTAGAGGGTAAATAAAAGAAAAAACATTCTTGCAATGTTGTGTTTAAAATTTTCAGTTTGTGTTTTGCTGGAGTTGAATGTGCTACCACTTTCTGATTGTGGTGCGTCATGACCGTCACTGAGGAAATCCCAAACTGTGCATTATCCAGTTCAGCTCTCCAGTAATTTAGCATCACACCTTTATAAAGTTTGGGGCTTTGAAGACAGATTAACAAAAACAAACAAAAAACGTAGTAAAGACACTGGATCCTACAATTCCCACAATGCAACCAAGCATCTTTTCATCAGTCCATCCCTGGCTGACATCTTTTAAGCTCTACACCCAAAGTTGGTAACACAATCCTTTTGTTTGTAGCGTCTGAGCCACATGATCACTCTGATGACATCATCAGATGTGACAAAACACAGCTTCCACTTAGCATGAATTTATTTTCTTTCATTGGTTACATTTAGTTTTGTCACAGTTTTTTAACTGCTAGGTGCAGTCCATAGACATGTCAGTGTTATCTCTGGCCACCTGTCCCATCTTTTTAATTCCACTTATTAGAAACGTAGAACTGTTTCAGCTCAGATCCAGCTCTCAGTACACTTCCAGATATAACAATATTTGTCTTTGAGTCAAAATGGAATCGATAAACTCTCTGTTGTTCACATGTGATCTATCTTCTTTTACAGAGCAGTGAAAATATTGTGTCTGGGTCTGTTTTTGATCAGCGTCTGGTCAAAGTTTTCTTTAAAGTTCAGGGTTGTTCTTTGGTCAGGATCGTGTGAATGAAGCCAGATGAAGTGCAGTGATATCTTGGAAGATGTTTGAGCTGTGGAACATCCTCATTTAGTTTTTAATGCGGATGAGATGTTGCGGGTCGGGGATGGACCTTTTGAGCGGGGACATTATCACAGTCAAGCCTCTACATCAGATCTCACCATGAACATCCTCTGATTTGGCAAATGTTGGATGGATTTTTCATTTTCTCCTCGGCTAACTGAAGCCAGCTGAACACACACGCAGGCCTGGTGGGAGTCGCAGAGGGACGGCATGAATCTCATCTTTAATCTAATAAAGGGACTCAGTAGAGGCTGGAATTAATCAAATCTGTGAGGGAGAGGAGCTTTCAACCTAAAGATGTGGAGCGAGGAGGCTCTTTGAGTGAGGAGAGGATATGATTGAACATAATGAGCACCTCAGGGTCATAACATAAAATAGAGGGTTTAAATCACCTCCATATTCTTTTGCACTGTATGCGGTCCTCAGGCGTTTAAAGGACCACCATGTGTAGTTATGATTTGGGCATCACAACTGACTGGACCGGTTCCATTCCAGTCTGGGCCAGCTGGTGCTGATGGCTGGCCATAAAATCATATCGTATGTTGTTTTAATGATTTTCATTTGCCTCCTGATTCGGTTGTTCGACATTCTCATTAAGTTCATTTACTAAGTGATTTTTATGAGTGGAATTGAGACCTTCACCATTTCATCCAAATTCAGCATTTTACCTCAGTCGTGTTGCTGTCTTTGTACAAATTGCAGCATAAATTATACAAAGCATTTTTTGACGAATGTCCAGTTCTGTTTTGCTCCAGTCATATGCGTATTATAGCAGGCTGTAGGGCGCTGCCTAGCAATGTGACTCATGTTCAGTTGCTGAGCCGTTCAATATGTGCTTAGCTTTTATGTCTAGATTAAAAATCTGTGTATGTTGGTGGAAGTAGACATTTTATGTGCCGTGTCTCGGTTGGCCTCTAAGAGTGTGATCAATTAACCCTCATAAGGTCTTTGAACTATTTTATTCCAGTTTTTGATTAATTTTTTCACGGATTAAGTAAAATTATGTGGAGAGTAAATCTTATTCATGTAATCTCAAATACAGTTGTTCTGTTCTGTTGTGTTATTCATTGCTGGGTTTTTCTCACATTTAAAAGAGCTATTTGTAAGTTGCTGTTTACTTACCAATCTAGAAACAATGATGTTCAGCATCAAACTTTTTTTACTTTCCGAGAGCTGGTTCCAGTGGTGAAACGTTAACTGTTGTCTCTATCATGTCTATTCTCTTACTGAAGTTAGCACGCTAACCAGCTAGCCCTGGCCCATCTTGTCACTTACCGATAGTGACTCACTGGATCAGTGGGGGGGGGGTATGATAACCTCTTGTTTTGTTAAGAGTGTATGTTGTTTTTATTGTTTTGATTTTTACCATTTCCATAAATATAATCTACCTCACTGTATTTTTGTGTTGTACTTCCTCCACTGCTCCCTTTTCTGAGAACATACACCAGTTTTCATGCATTTTCTCTACCATAAAGAAACATGATTCTCAACATCCAACCTCTTGTGCTCTCTCCCTCCTCCAGTTGATAGCTGTGTACGATGAGCAGGAGCCCCATCATGGAGGTGACGGTACCAGCGCCAGCTCCACGGGGACCCAGAGCCCCGACCTCTTTGCCGCAGACCTCAGTGCCGGCAGTGGAGCTTCAGCGTTTCAACCCTACCAGGCTGCCAGCGAGATCGAGGTTACGCCCTCCGCCTTGCGCACCAGTAAGTCCCAAACACTGCAGGAGGAAAAAAAAAAAAAAAAAATCAGGGACACATGCGGCAGGATCGGGGACAATCGGATGATTTGTACACGGATGCATTGTTTGGTTAAAGAGACCATTACCTAAAGATACAATCAGGAACTAATCAGATTAATAATTGAGTCCTATTTTCCTCTTAAATTACAAATCTGTCATCTTCACTGGCATCAAATATCAGCAACTGTAGTAGTACACAGCAAACCCAACAAATTACCCCACCCTGGCCCAGCGGTACCTTCGCCCTGTCCATAAATTCTGTTAATTGGACAGGAGGCCCTTTTTTTTCCCGGGCACAGATAGCCATTTGATCCCCGGCCAAAGTGGCTAATTGGTTCTATTCGCTGCCTCCTAAATCAAATCTGACGCTGAGCCCGTCCACCTCTGCAGTTTTGCTGGCCAAGACACTTCTCCCACTGTAATTACGGTGAGTTTGAAAACTGCGTCTTGTAGGTGATTTGTCCATTTGGATCGAGCAAACCCTTTTGCACACAAGCATAAACAGAAGCAAACAAGCATGCGTGCACACACACACACACACACACACACACACACACACACACACACACACACACACACATAGACAAACACATGCTCTTACTGTGTCACTGTTACTGCCTCTTCTTGCCCAAGTATTTCTCCTATTGTGTCTTCCTGGGCCTCTCTGGATCTGGATTTGGAGTCTTGTGCAATGAACGTATAAAACTGGATCGATCATGATGAACAACGTTTTGCAAACAATATGTTTTCTTCAGAATGGGGTAATTTTCGATTAACATTTGCAGCTGGGATTGATTTTTGTTAGCAGACATCTTTTGTCTCCACTAAATTCTCGTTATTATCGTTTTTTCTCTTTACCAGCAGCAGACTTTCCCCAGTACTTTAGTTTGAGTTTCTTCTTGTTTACGTCTTTGCCAATTTTCTATAATTAGTTCCCTTTCATATGGTTGAAGGACACTTGTTAATTTTATGTGTTAATTGGCACCAGATTTGACACAATTAAAATTAACTAAAAAAAAAAAAAAAAGCAAATACGCTTTTGCAAGATCATTTATTACTGAAAAATTGAATTTTTAAATAATAAACAATGAAGCAGAAGTAGGTTAAATTCTTGTATGTGATTATCTATTCTATGAATATACAGTACATACATGTGATAAATCACTTAATCACTTCAAAACTCAACTCGCATAGTGCTCTGTGAGCTCTGTGAGCTCTGTGAGCTCTGTGAGCGTGGTTTCCACTCCATTTCTTTTCACGCACATGCAGCTAATGTAGACTTAAATTTGTGTTGGAAGTCAACAAAATGCCACATAAACCAACACCAGACAATACAGAATACTAAGGGGGTTTGAATTATATCGTTGTATTTTATGTTTCGGATGTAAGCCATGCTGCCATTAAACAGCCGTTCAAAGTTTTATTCGAAACATACCAACGTGCAATGTAACAATAAGCAAAGCAGGGAATTGAGGGTCAGACAGCAACATAAAACAACAATTTACTTTTTGATATTATGAAAAATATTGCATATGGATGGAAATATATCATAATATATTTTCCACAACTTGTAGGGGTCAACTCTAAATAGTAATAATAGATTACCACAGCATCCACTACCAGCTGATGTTTGATTGTCAGCTGATCAAGATTCAGTAGCCTCAGCTTTCCTGTATTTTGCCAAAGCTTATTCCTACGATACACTTCGCTGTAAGTAGCAATAAATATGTCTTATTCTTAACATTTAGCCTTCTTGCTCCCAATTTAGTTCAATAGAAGATGTTTCAATTAAACGTAATTCTCACAACTTAAATAAAAACAGACCCTGACCTTTTTATTTCTTTCCTTTCTTCAAGCACACACAAACATTAACCAACACCCCTACTTCACACACACACGCGCACACACACACACACACACACACACACACACACACACACACACTCCATTGAACAAAAAGTTAAAAACAAACTATTTCTTTGCTAATAAGGATTGTTAATTAGCACTAAAAATACTCCACTGGTTGCATGAGTATGGCTTATCCACTAATGACCCGTGAACTGGCATTGATTGACACAGCCGCCACCAAAATCTCATTTTCTGCCTCTGTCTCACACACACTCACACAAACACACACAGACATACAGAGCGAGGGAGGTCACTCCAGTCCTAATTGGATTTCTGGATGAGATGCTGAATGTGAATTTGCAGTAAGAAATGGAAATCTCGGGCATAATCGCACCTGCCAGTGACGTCCAATTTAACCGCCTCCTTAATAAATTCTAACCCTGCTTAATTGATGACACAGAATCTCATCAGATGAATTTTAATGGGTTTTAAGAGAAATGTCTGACATGGAAGAGAAGGAATTTGATTAATTTTCTTTTTCTTTTTCTTTTTTTTTTTTTTTTTACATGAGCGCCTAATGAGAATAGCTTTCAATCACTGATTCATGTTGGACGAAACGAGAAGCGTTGGACTCTGTGGGTCTGTGCCAGTTTTCTTGTTAGGCCCATAAAGTCAAAAGAAAATTGATTAAGCTTATTAGACAGAGAGCTCCATTGAAATTCACAAATGCACTGATGTTAGTTTCTTGGCTTTGTTAAACCCCAAACTCTGCAGATGAGAAAATGCTGATTAAAGGACAGTTAAAGCCACTGTACTGAACATGTAAGGCTCTCAGATACCAGTTTAAAAAGTTAATTTCCAAAATGCAATAATTATTATTGGAGAAAAGTAGTACTTGAAGTTCATAAATTCATTTTTATTGATAAAATATAATGAATTCAGTAAAAAATGATCCTGTTACCCATAATCCATAATACTTTAAAAGAGCTGGAGGTTCTTTCAGTTTTGTCGCTACAAATGTTGTGGTGTTGCTATTCACTCTTCATATTTGTGCGATAAAACTTTTATTTGGAAGAAAGTTCTAAGTTAATAACTACAGTGTGTCGTCATTTATCTTGAGACACAGAAAAGTTCAAAATCATCACGTTTTGTGCTACAGAGATATGGCAATGGTAAATTCGAAGGCATTAGCTGGCTCTTTCATTGATTTATTTAATTTAATTTAATGAGAAACTTTGTAGCATTTTATTTTTTAAAATGAACCCAATTCTCTACAGTATTAATGAGAGGTGCAGGTAAGGGAGAAGCTGCAAATTGTGCTTAGTATATTCTAAAGTGTCAGTATGCATGGTGAGTTTGCCTGTGGGCACTGTTCTCCCACAATGCAGTGCACAACTGAAATAGACTGAATGAAAGTGAAAATTTTAAACAAATTGTAGAGAAAGGAGTGAGATTCTGTGGAAAAGAAATAAAAGGTTGTATAAAATATTTACAATAATTTGATAAAAGAGAAATGAAGATATTATTTCTCCTTAGCAGTTTAAATGACAGGTGAAACATGGTGGGATGTTGTGATGTACAGGAGAATCAAGGTTATTTTATATGTCAGGACAGTATATTATCATGTCATGTCCCCTCACCAACTGTTAAAGGTGAGCTTGAAGGGGAACTCCACCGATATTTGTTTTGTTCTTTCACAAAGCTGTGGGATCCACAAGAGGTCGATTAGAAGAAACAGTCAAAATCGAAGCAACAGGCTTTTGCAATCCAATCCATTTGATCCATAGTATGGATCAAACTCTCAAGACTTTGGATCCTACATTCCCCATAATGCAACTCAGTAGCTTGTTTTTGTTAGAAACTCTCTGCATGGTAAATGCCCTTGTCTTTTAAACCCCACACCTCCAGTAATGGTGTAATTACAGACTTTCTGTATTTGATCGTCATGTGGAAAAGTGGTGGACCTGCCCTTTAACTGACCTCAATAAACACAGGGGGATTTTACTTCTCACTGTTAATGCTCTGTTAACAGTTAAATAAGACAGAACTCCTGCTGTGGCCACCAACCTAGAACGGTAGTTGTTACTGAACTATGTTTGGGGTTAGTACAAGCCAATCAGAAACAAGTATTTTCCACAGCTATGAAACTGTACACTACGCAGATTAATACGCTGTGTAAATAGAATTGGCATATGCAGCTGGAGAGGGGCGATCCTATGCCCTAATGCCTCCTGGGAGTTGGAGTTGTTTAGGTGGTGTTGAGACCTGTCAGGACAGCCTGCACCCTGTCCCCTCCTGAACTCCATCTCCCAGAGCGCCGCTGCCTCCCACAGCTCCGAGCGGTTTAGGTCCCACGCTCTGGGTGACCCAATAACATCAGTCAGCCAAGTGCATGAGTGTATTGTACACACACACACACACACACACACACACACACACACACGCACACACACACACACACACACGCACACACATTTCCAGATTCTCAACAAATACTGTAGCTGTTGGCTCAGATTTGTCCAAACACTCAGATGTTTCCAAACACAAACACATCCACGAGCTTGTGTGCACACAAAATACTGACTCATCACCAACACACATCTTTTACACACCCAGTTGGCTGATGCTTCACAAACCCACACACACACACACACACACTGATAATTGTCCACACACACAGAGAACCACGTCAGTGTGGAAAAAATGCACATACTGCTAAACAAAAGTATTATGTTCAGTATTAGTGTTGAAAGACACACACAATGTTCTACAGACTCATCAGTTTATCACACATAAACATGGACGCACACACACACGCACGCACAGATGGACACAGTTAATCTTGTCATGCACTTACTCTCACAATACACACACAGTCAAATAAGCGTTGACTCAGACACACACTCCTCTTTGGACAGATCTCAGTGTTTCCTGTATGAACACACAACACCACCATCAAAAACATCTGAAACGGCACAAAGTCCTGGAAGAGAACATGGGAACATGACACTTGGCATTGTTACCGAAGAAGACGCTCCAACTTTTATAAGAGTTTTGTTTACACTCCATCTCTCTTGCGTGTCCCGCCGGGTTCGGCCGCTCAGATCTCACCCATGGGATTCTGCAGTGGGAGATTTGTAATGTCTTAGCACTGTATCTTGTGTACAACTGCAGGCTGTGGCGTTGCGTGCACGTTCCCGTTGTTGGGAGTCGTTATTTGGACCTTGGCCCGCTTCCCACACACTGCAACTTTTAAACAATTTTAATGGAAGGCATCCACTTACTCTGGTGTTTCTCAATAAGCTTTTCCTCCTGTTGTTGTTCCCACACAGTCTGCGGCGCAGCCTTATGAGGCACTGACGGTAAAGTCGAAACCCGAGCTGCCAGATGTGACTTTCGGTGATAGATCTGATTTAATTCACAACGGGATGATAATGGGATCTCAATGATTAGCTGCCTTTATTAGCCGCCATTGTTTGAGCAGCAAAATTTGTATGAGCATATTCACATCAATCATCCCTAAAGATAATATTAAACCCCTGTCCTGAGTCCTAGCAGCTTTAATACACTTTCCCATCAAACAATTTAAAATAAAACATAGTGATATCATTTCCTCTCAGAGCATAGCCCGGGATAGGGGAAATCAGATTATCCTCATAAAACTTTCAGTATCCAAAAAAAAAAAATCCCTTTCTGTCTTTCCTGTCTCTCAGATATGCCCCTCCACGTCCGGCGCAGCAGCGACCCCGCCCTGCTGACCATCAACGGGCCGTTCAGCGGCGGCGAGTCACGGGTCCAAACAGAAGAGCCGCCGTCGAGGAAGAACCCGACCCGCTGGTCCACCACCGCTGGCTTCTTGAAAGCCCGCCACTCCTCCGGCACCAACAGTCTAGAGAGGAAGGTAGGCGACCAGGAAGTGAACACTAATATAAGAATGATTAGATTTTGATGGCACACATCCAGCTACATGTGGCACGCCGACATCGTCCTCTCTGTATATCTACTTTGGGAGGGGGAGCATTTCCTGAAAGTTATCGGTCAATATTTCAAATCTTTTTCACTTACATATAAAACACGCTAACTAATCCATTACTTACGCCTGTAAACTGGATCCTTAACGCCGTTGTTTCCGTGTCTGTGCAGGGTAAAGGTATGGACACGTATCGCAGTCTGCCGCGGGATGCGGGGACGTGGGCCAATCAGAGAGAGTTTCAGAGAGAGACGGCCCGCTCATCACTCAGTGCCAATCACCCCATGGTGGACCGATGGCTGGAGAGACAAGAACAGGTAAGACCACCAGACCTGGCATTAAAGATGAAACTTTTCTGTCATTTTGACGACAGTGTTACAAAAACCTCTTGCACACTTTTATCCATGTCCTATACTTTATGTCCTGACATGACGTGAACACCTGATGCCTTGAACCATCCGCAAATTTATCGGCCAGGCTCATCCTCACTCTACCCATCAGCCCTCTAAGCTCTGTCAGTGGCTGCCTGAGTGGCCTAGATCCAGTCCAGAGCCTGAACCAGTTCCACCACGCCCCTGTCCCTCAGCAAAGAGGTTAAAAAGTGAAGAATTTCCACCTTAAATCCCCAGTGACACACAAGTTATGCAGGGAGCAATAGCATAATGTTGATATAGTAAATAACATGAGCCATATACAGTACATATGGTCCTGTTTAAGTGGAAATGGAGAACGTTGCCAGAGGCTCTTTTCCCTCTGTGGTCACACAAGCCAAAGTTTTGTTAAGAATATAATCATAAAATATGATAACATATCCTGACCCACAGGCAGGACTCGCTTCGTATTTGGTCGCTGCACAGGTTGTGTTACAAAGTCAGATAATATCAGGATTTAAAAAAAAAAAAAAAAAAAAAAAACATGGATCAGAAGTGTGGAAGTGAATAATAAAAGCAATAAATAAACATGAAGCACTAGCTGTAAAAGGGTCAGTCACTTTCTCTGTTTATTGGCTGTTGGTTGTGTTTGTCTGCGCTGTGGTGAAACATCTGTATCGCTCTCAATGTTTAATGAGTAGTGATTAATCTAAGTGTAATATTGAGATAAAGATGAACACATCAGCAAGTTGAGAAAGGTTTCCTAAAAGGAAGGGAAAAAAACTGCTTTTTATCCTCCATCTCTGTGAACTGAAGGGCTCATCATTCAAACGGTTACAACACACACCAGTTGCATCATGTAGCTTCATGTTTTATTCACGCATATGACAAAACTGCTCTTCTGGGTTCACAGTGATGCGAAAATGATTGGTGAACTTGTTTTGTTAGTCTTCCTGCCTTCTTCTCTGGGGTACAGAGCAGAATGTGCATGCATGATGGCGGCCGGTTGGCTTTCGGCTGTAGTGTCGAAGTGCAGCTTCTAATGTTAGACGTGAGCTGATGTATTAGCTGGTTTTGAGGATGCAAATTGTTTGAAGTCTCAGCACGACCTACCAAGCTCAGCTTTTAAAGCACATGTTTATTTTCGGGATACTTAGATTTTGATTTATCGTCTTAGGCACTTACATGTAGAAAACTAAGTGTCCTCTAACTCAGATTGTTTTTTGTTTGCGTATAAGTTCTTTTGTAAACAGGATTAAACGTACAGCGAGCTCCCACCATTCATCAGCGTGTAGCACCGAGGCCTTTTTCCCTGATCTGTCTCAGAACAGGGTTCAGTGTGAAGGGGGTTAAGTGGTGGAGGTCACTGCAGGATGGTGTAGTCAGTATTAATGACCTGCCCTCTTCATCTCACACATACATACACACTCAGACATGTTCCCCACCGTCCTCTCATTCTGCTGACAGCCCTCACTATGACTTGAACAGCTATATCAGTCTGCATGGCCCTGTAGAGTGTGTCTGTGTGTGTGTGTGTGTGTGTGTGTGTGTGTGTGTGTGTGTGTGTGTGTGTGTGTGTGTGTGTCGTACTTAATGCTGCTTCTCTCTGTGTGATGGTGAGAGACAGCTTGTGGACTCAGTGTCATGTTGTGTATGATTACTCCATGGTGTGTGTTTGCAGTAAATGATCCAGTCAAATCGTCTGAATTCATGTTACATGATCATATGTAATGTCAACTTTCCTCTCATCACTGACACACACACATGCACGCATGCACACACACACACACACGCTCCAGTTCGAGGTCTCATGAGCTGTTGTTGTTGGCCAGTCTTGTGTATAGTATCTGTCTGCTCGCTGTCACTGTTCTATGTCACACTGATTTAAGCTCCACTTAAATTACTTTGTTCCAAGAAGGATGTCGCAACTCTGCTGCATGATGGGAAAAGCCTGGTTTTCTTTCAGACGTGATAATCAAATAAAGAAATAGAAAAATAGCCACATCAAGAAAAAACAAAAGCAGTAGTCTATTAGTATACACTGTAGACTGTATTGTAGACTGTATGTTTTCAGTGCATTTGATTCTTTACGTATGTATATATCATTTTCCTTTTGATGGTGTTTCTGTTCAGACATACACTGACTCGAATCGCACTCTCACCTCTTCAAACATCTTCTCAAAGCCAGAAGTGATTGTGTAATTTTCCTGATGCCGACAGAGCCGCAACACCTGGCTTTCAGCTCCAGTGCTGTTGCAATGTCCTGCGTGATTCACTGCAAGCAGGCGAACTTTTATTTATAGCACAATCTGTATTGAGGGAAATTCAAATTGATTCCCTCAGTGAAAGAGAAAAGAGAGACACTTGAAACAATAACACAGCTGTTAGCTCAAGTTTTTGGTTATATTGTAAAACTATCATCAGGATCCACAGCTGACACACAACATGTGTGCTGATTGCTCAGTCTCATCAATTAGGCGGATGATGTCCCAGGACATAAACAGTTGCTGTAAGTGACGGTAATGCAAAATGCAAAGCTGCTGAAACGGGAGGAAGCTGAAAACATCGGGGCATTGTTGTTTAATTTGGTGAACTTGCCCACAATGCTCTGTACATATGTAGATGTTTGTGTGTTATTAAAGTTAGAAATTGTTTAGGCACTCCTGGGATTAAATACATACACATGTATACACTGACACAGTGCTGACATAGATTCAAACGGTCACTATCGTTCGGTGGATACAAAGAGCCTCTGTTTAACTGTTACAAGTGAAATTTTTCTCTATTTGTCCCCAGAGTGAGTAAATCTGATTGGCCCTGCTGAAGTACAATGAGATTTTAATGTATTTTAGTTTTTATTTAACATTTTATTTTACCTGGAGAGTTTCTTGCTATCAGATTATCTCCTTTTGAAGACGGTCTGGTCCAATGTAGCAGCACAGTTGCCAGACTATAAAAAGGACATTATAGAAAATACAGAGCAAAACACCAAAGACACGGGGCACTATGCAGCAGCAGTATATATATATATATATATATATATATATATATATATATATATTAGATATGTTTTGAAACGCTGGCATTGACCCAGAGAACTGAACAAAAACTTGTGACTAGGAAACAGTAGTATAAGTAAGTTTCACCAAAATAAGAAGCAAATGAAAACGAAGTGTGATTTTCACTAAGTTCTGTTAATGGAGCTGATTTCATGCGCCTTTAATGGCAGCACAGCTTCTGTACAGCTTCTGAACTTCGTCTAACAATTAATTACAGCACCAAACAGAGTTCTGCTATGACATAATTAGCCTAGAGTAGCGGCAGTGTATTAAACCTTTGTTAAGAATATAAAACAGAATGGTATGGGAATGAAGAATAGCACAGCAAGAATGGGAAAATGCAGTGATTTAATTAGAATAGAGCAGCTTGGAATGATGAATTAAGCAAAGCAGCTTCCTCAACTTAGTTTCATCTTATCTTCCTTGAATGAATAACACGGAACAGAGGAGTATGAAATGAAGAGAAGAATTAGCATAGAGCGTCACATAATGAAGAAGGCCCTATTTCACTCCTGTGGAGAATTTGGCTTCTCCCATAACAAAACGTACAGAACAGGGCATTGCTTTGCACTGAAGTGAGGCAGATTGAATCGCATTGGAATGAATGAAACTATTCTCCGTTCCCAAGTGGGTAATTGTGCGTGCCTGCAGCAGCACCGGCGGCTCCCCGACACACAGCAAAATTGAACTGAGATAGTTTTGAGCTGCGTTCACAAGCCCACCTCCCCTCCCCTAAACTCCCAGCCATCCTTTGGCAACAGGTAGGGGGTCGCCATGGCAACAGCGAGCTGTCAGTTGAGTGTGTATTAATGAGAGCTGGCTGGAGGTGCTGAAGCTGTGTGGAAAATAGTGTCCTGCACTGTCGTCTGTCTGTGTGTATGCGTGCGTGTCCATGAGTCATGAGGGCATTTATGAATCTGCATGTGTGTGTTTATGCGTCCGTCTATTTAATGTGTCTGTGGCATCTGAGTGTGCGCATGTGCACGCTTATGAATATGTGTGTCGGCCGTGAGCATGTGTCAAGAATCCAGGCAGCCATAGACTTGGTTTGCAAATCAAGCAATTAAGAAGAAAAGCCACAAGCCGCTGAGCTGCCTGCAGCATGAGCACGGACAGCTGAACCTCAATACACAACACACACACACACACACACACACACACACACACACACAACACGCACACAACCTGTACCCCGGCTGGGTTAGCCGTCATCTATGAGGGGAGACGACAGTCTCTGAGAACTTGCATGTCATGGAGTGTGTATGTTGAGTTTATGTTTGGATGTCTCATTAAATATTACACCTTTCTTACTGTGTATGAAAGTGTGTATAAAACCACCAATTTGATGATTCTGAAATAGAAAAAATCCAATATACTGCAAGATTAAATGCGTCTTAATGAATAAATCATGTGACTGTTTATTAATAGGGTAGAAAATTTGATAAATTGGAGATACATGGTTCTCACAGGACAGCGCCGGGGTTTGTTTGTGTTTGTGTGCATCATGCCTGGAGGTCTGAAAAACACCTCTACCCCTGATACCCAGAGCTGGAGCCAGACAGCATTAACACAGAGAGCCAGGATTCTCTCCATCCAGCATCACAAACACTCACAGAGCTCATGAACCATGTAAGTGCCCAAAAGAAAGACGAATACGCCTCCGGCTCTTAGATTAATGATGATTAAATCATAAATAATTTACTTGTCAGACATTGTTTCTGCTTCTTGTTTGAATGCCAGAAAATAGAAACAAAACCAAACGTAAAATCACAAACACAGCACTGCTGTAGAGGAACCAAAGCTGTTGGCAAAGTTTTATGCATTTTCTGTAAAGTCAGTTCATTTAGAGATCAGATTCATTGTTTTCAGGAATTTAAAATATAATTA